GGCCAGCAGTCCAAACTCAGAATCTGTAAAGATGCAGAAGACCAAGAACTGCAGGGCACAGCCAAGGAAGGGGATTGATCTGTTCTTGGCAAATATGTCCACCAGCATCTTGGGGCCAATTGCTGTGGAATAGCAGAGGTCACAGAAAGAGAGGTGGCTGAGGAAAAAGTACATGGGTGTGTGCAGCTTGGAATCCAGTCTAATTAGGATGATCATTCCAAGATTGGCCAGGAGACTAAGGAGATAAACAAGTAGAAACATGGTGAATAGGGTCACTTTGTTTTCAGTGTTGTCAGCGATTCCCAAGAAAATGAATTCAGTCAAGGATGAACAATTCCCTCTATCCATTCTTCAAGGTTCTTGTCCAAGCTTTTGAGAAAATTCTAAGAAAATGATACATGTATGTGTAACATTTCCAGACATCCGCACAACATTGTGAAGTAGAACACGACTTCTTCGTGTAATTGTCTTTTCATACACAGAAAATTACCCAGTCCTACACCCGTGCATTAAAGAGGCATTGCTGTCTAGTCCGTGCTAAGTAAAACTGTCCCGGGTAGACAGTAGGGAAACTGTGATCTAAATATGCGTGTCATTCATGAGGTGTGTTACTTTCTACAAGCCCTTCTCGGAGTCTTAATTTCCTTATTTCATGGAGTAGGTTTGGATAAATTTGTTTCTCTTCTTCTCTTCAAAACAATAGGGAAGAGACATCAGCATGAGACCTATCAGGCTGTAAGACACTGCTCTGAGCATCTTCTGTGCTTGAAAATGTTCAGATGCATACAGAAAGTGATCACAATATTCTTGTCTCTCAAAAACGTAATTGGTTTGAGTGCCGGTATTAGATGCAGAGACAATGAGCGTATCGTTGACTAATCATAATGAAAATAATGATCTTTCCTGGTTTTGGTTTATGTTGTGTTCAGCATTTGGTGAGACATTAAATAAGAATTACCAACCTTTTCTCTAGACATTTATTACTGTTTTGCCACAATACCCATTACCTATTTGCGCGAACTGTCTGATGCCAAAGGTAGAATCTCTCGACTCGTTGAAGGAAAACCTAAACAGAAGAGAAAACAGCCTTGTTTAGCACGTACCTTTACATGTCTTTGGATTTTAAAAGCACTTTTATGCTATTAAACGAAAATGGGACGATGGATAGTAAATGCTTCTGAAATAAGGGGAGGGTCTAGCTCAGTGGTAGAGCGTGTGTTTAGCGTGCAGGAGATCCTGGGTTCAATCTCTGGTACCTCCATTAAAATAAGTAAATAAACCTAATTACCCCCAATAATAAAATTTAAAAAACAAAAGAAGTACATAGGCTTCTCACGCTTGTGATTGTGTGTATTTATGTGTGTGCTATATGCTTACACGTGTGTATGTCTCTGTGGATGTACAAGAATCGGAATATTAGGTGATGGGTATATTTTTGTACTTTAATAAACAGGGCCTATGGTTCCCATGATGGTCTGATTTTCACACGTTGGTATTTGTAATGTGGAACCTCAACGACTTTTGAATTAAAACAACAACAGCAAGACCCCTTAAACTTGCATTGATACTTACCCAGTGAGAACAGAAGCAAAGTCTTCACAGTAAACTAGATGAGAATAATTATTTCCATGTGATTTTGTGGATACTAATAAATCGAAGTCTTTCAGTTCTGAGAAGACGGTGTCCTTTGTGACTCTCCAATTGCAGTGCTTGTTAACTGGAGTAAGCAGGCATCAATGATTCATTTATAAATCTCTCACTTTTTTTTTCTAAAAAGGTAAGCTTTTTTCCCCCATCTCCTATAGTATTTAAATCTAGAGACTCAGGAACCCACCTGAGATGAGGAGGTCTGGGTCGCTGAAGAGTGGGCGGGTGGCATTTTATTTTACCGGCTACTTTTGGGACTTCAGTCCCTGAAGCTACTGCCTTTATGGTTTGTTGTTATACAAACATGTCGTTAATTATATTTCGGGTTCTGTATGTTCCCCCAGGATTTCAGAGACAACTTTAGGAAAAGCTGTGCTTTCCTGGTTCATTCTGGTAACCATTATGATCACAGGGAAGGGGAACTGCAAATGATTTTTATAATACGCTTCACAATTATCTCCTTCTCTGGCCAAAGCAGAAATCAAATGAAATTCCAGTAGAACCTTGCTCCATCATTTCCAGCACTTTAGTATTATTTATTTTGTTTCTTCTGTTTTTGAAACATTCTCCTTCACCACCATATTTATCAGTATTATTACCCTTCAGTATTATTATTTTTTAATATAATAGATATGCTGTAAAATTCATCCTTTGAACATGTACACTTTTTTTTGTATGTTTTCAAGGTTTTACAGCCATCAGGACTATCCAATTCCAGAACATTTTCATCACTCCAGTTAGGGACCCATACTGGTTAGCAATCGCTCCTGTTTCTCCCCTCTCTCAGCCCCTGGTCACCACTAATTTACATTCTTATTTTATGTGTTTCCCTATCCCAGACGTCTCATACATGCAAAATCATAAAGCATGTGTGGTTTTGTGTGCATCATCTTTCTTTGACTCAGCATAATATTTTCAAGTTTCATCCATATTGTTCCATGTGTCAAAATTTTTTCATTTTAGGGCTGAAAACATATTTTACTTATGAACTGTTTTTGATCTATTCATCAATTGGATGAACATTTGGGTTGGTTCTACTTTTTGAATGTGACGAATAATGATGCTGTAACCATTCTTTTTTCAAGGCCATTTTCACCACCAAACATTGTCTTACTCCCGTCCTCCAGCCACATCCCATCCAGGGACATGTCACTGACTTTATGATTCTATCACATTCTCTACACTTCATGCGCTCTTTCTTGACTTATGTTTATTTTATTCATCAAAGAATATCTCTACTACACTTAAGGCTTTAGGAGTATCAATGTCTATTTTTGGTTTTCCCCAAGGTCCCTAGCACAAAAGATTTGCAAAGATAATTCTTGCTAAATATTTATTGTTAAGCATTTAAAGCTACTAGAAATGGAGGGTGATGGGAAAAGAATGGAAATACACTGGAATGAGGGATTTATTTTCCCTAATGGTATAGCTCATATGTGCAAGGATGATTCATTTACGATTTTTGGCATGGATATTACTTTTTCTAAAAAAATCAGAGTTCTGCTTTTTTTTTTTCTAAAAATAATTTTAACTTGCTGTTACCTATATTAGTTCTTTGCAAAACTGAGAAATACTGGAAGTTTTACTTCCATACCCTCTCCAAATCCTTCCCAAGAGGTGGCAATACATTTTCCATACTTCTCAAACCTCGGTATCATCTTGGTATCTGGTCTCATTTGCGTACTTCCGAAGGTCCTGGACCTAGTGACCTGGATGCTAAGTGTGTCTTCACTCTCCTTTCTGTATGCACGCCGTTCAAATGCCGCTTCCTTCAGTGGGTTTGCTAAGTACGTGCACAGCAAAAAATAACAGATCACACACACACAGTCATTAATTTACCTAACTATTAAGAAGCTATACATTAAAACACCTGGAACATATAAAATAGAGTTCTGCAACGGGTTGATGATAGTTTGGCTGATTAAAGATGGCGGCACTTTTTTTCTTTTTAACACATTTTCCTTAGACAGTGACTACTTATACCTTCTTTGAACTGCTACTGGCCTTTAGTGGCTATAACCACAGAGGTTGGTATGAAAATTATACACTGAGTCTAGCTTTTACGAAGACAGTTCCTGAAAGCCATGAACTGCCACGTAAGAATTCCAACTAATTTTCTGGGTAGACCATGTGAACGGCCACGAGACTAAACGGACAGAGAAAGGGGACCAGTTGAATCAACTCTTGTAGCTGTTTTTATGCCTGTGCCATTGTAGAGACTGTCCAGCACAGCACAGCCTCTCTTGCAGACCATGTGACCTCCTCAGTCAACGTGAGAAAGGTAGACTGTAGCCCAGTGTTTATTATTTAAACCAAGACATTTTGGGATAGTGTTTGTGTCACAAAAGATAACTGAAGCAGTATGAATAAAAGATAATCAGAGAGAAATGTTTTCCCTAGTCATTTATTACCATTATATGATTTTATAAAATCATTATTACTACTATGTACTATTGTGTAATATAGATAGATGCTAGCTAGCTAGCTAAACTGAAGAAACTATTTGCAAACCATATACCTGACAAAGAATTTGCAGCCAGAATATACAAAGCATTCTCATAAATAATAGAAACACAACGGAACTAAAAATGGGGAAATGACTTGAACAGGTACCTCACCATAAAAGATATACAAATGGAAATTAAATAATTTAATACATAATATACAGAAAAAGCATCAGCTATGGAAATATGTTTTGTGATGACATATGTCCTCTAAGTTCAGTCTTCAAATGCACGTTCTCCATGTGGTGCCTCCCAGTGTCATGTGAGTTGATTTGTCCCTGAAGACACAGGTTACTTATTAGGTAGCTGATCATGTTTCTGAGATGTCAGAGAAGGATGTTCTGCACTTTCAGTAATTTTAATATATTAAAAATAAAAGATAGGGAGGAACACAAATATTTTGCCTTGCAATTAACCTATATTTTTTCAAGCTGCTACTTAGGAAATGCTTCCAAATTACTTTGGAGTAGATTGGGTATAGATTTTCAATATATTCTCAAACTGCACTTAAGAAAATGTATTTGACTTTGTATTGTAGCTTTCCTAATGTCCCTGCCTCTCACCATCTTACTGTGCTATATGCACTTTAATTAAATATATACATATATATATTTAACAACTATAAAGTACTTGAAATGGTTCAGGTACTATCCTCAGCATTTAAACATGCAGCAATCCATGCTGAAGGCACAATATTCTCCCCATTTTACAGATCAGTTAATTGAGGCAGAGAAAAATTAAGTAACTTGTTCAAAATACAACTCACTAGTTAGGTACAAGGCTAGCATATGAACCAAAGGAATCTGGCTTCCACCCTAATCCAGTAATATACCCTTGTAAATGACATAGTTTACACATGAACACACACACACACACGCACACACACATACTTCTGAGGTATGTACTATATCCCTTAAGACAACACAATACAACCCATTTTAGCATTAACTCCAAACTCCAAATAGTTGGACAGTGGTCCAACTATTATTTTGAAACAATCTTGAAACTTTTAAATGTTTTCTTATATCTTGGGCTATGGAACACATTTGGCTGTGTGAAAAACAAGTGTTTGATAAAATGCCTTGTGTGAAAAGTTATGTACGTGCTGCCAAGGTTTTGCAGGTTCCTAGAGTTTGTAATTGGAGATTTGGGTGAATCTTGGAACGCTTTCTGTCACGAAGAATCTATCTTTGATCTGATGACTTT